TTGCCGACTTTCACCCAGCAAGTCAAATCATCCACAACGTGGGAGTGTGTATCTAGATAGGAAATGGAAAACCCAAGTGGCTTTGCTGAGGAGTTTGACAACCCCTTTCCCCTTCTTGTTATCCTGAGGCCACGAGTCGTTACAAGTAAATAGTGCAGACATGAAAGAGTTCCTGACAGGGTTGAAAATAATGAACCCGCCGTCTTTCGAAACTTTCTTCCGCAAACGAATCTACGTAGCCGAACGAATGAAGGCACACGACCGCCCGGGACCCCTGTTACGGGATAGGACAAAGTAGAATGTGTTTAGGGTTTTGATAAAAAGAAGGAAATAAACAGACTTTGCATAGAGCGTGGTTAAAAACGGGATATTTGGGTGCATCGGCAGATGAAAATGATATTGAAGCACAAGTAGGCCAGAGGGAATGACTTCGCCGTGGACCCCAGCCACGGACAATCCAGCTAGCAAACTGCCGCCTGTTTCTTAAGAGAATGCATCCTCAGAGTGCAACAAATTCAGCGCCGCTCGAGATAGAGTCCTGCCGAGGACCACACTGCTGTGCTGCGCTTCGGCAATTCTAAAATCTCGCAAAATTGAGGGAGGGAGGAGTGGAGAAAGGTAAGGGGAGGCACAGGGATATCAAGAGGTCGAAGAAGATGCGCAGGGTAACTCGAAAAAGCACCTAAAAAGCAACGATGGCAAGGCTAATTCTTAGCCTGGTGAATCGGCTTGATAAGCGTCATTTGCTTCTTGCCTTGCGGCTCACGAGTCCCGCCACCAAAGCAACAAAAATAAAGATAAAAATAAATAAATACGGAGTACGCAAGTATATAATAAAAATAAGAGCCAGGGTAGAAATTAAATGCGAAGGGGCCCTGCGAGCCATGCAGCTGAACTCATGCCCGCTCTCTATGCCTTTATGTATAATCGTGTGCGTCTTCAGGGGGATCTCATCGAGGTGGGAGGGAATTGGATAGACTACCCTCGCCTAACCTTGGAATGCCGTGGCCCTTGCTGATGGCTGTGCGGCAGTTGTACAGCAACCCATGATTGCTGGACGATGCCGGTCAGGGGTGTGTGTATGTAAGATTCTAGGGGGCCTTGAAAAATCTTAACATCCATCCACGGCCCCATGGACGGATCACGATACAGCCCAACCACAAGCGAGAGACTTCGGCATTAAACCAGTGCTTATCTGCTTTTGAAATCTCATTCTTCGCCAATCCCCGGTTACCAGAAGACCTCTCGTGTGGAAGCATGTCCAGCTGGAAGCCAACTGTAAATGAGACAAACGGAAGAACGGATTCCCGAACGCGCTAGTCTGGCATTTCGTTGTGCTGACCGTTTTTGAACAGGAATGTCACGGCGTACGGAGTGCTCTTTGTTACTGAGAAGGCCGCCTGGACAGGGAGATGACTTGTTAGAGAAGTGCTTCCATGTTGTTAAGCAAAGCACCGAAGTGCAGTTCAAACTTCCAGTTGATTTGTGTGTTGAACTGCGACTAAAGTGTCTGCAAGAAATTTCGCGATGGATGACATCATTTCAGTACCTTCATTCCTGAGGGACATATATATATACATACACACAAACATACCCACACAACAACATCCCTTCTAGGTAGACTGCAGAGGACACGCTGTAGATGAGGTTGATAACAACATGTGTCAGTCCTCCTTCAGACATTGTTGCTTATTTCTATGGTGAATAAAATATCATCGGCTTCCTCGGTTTTGCTTCAACTACAGATCTATTTCTTTTACAACACCCAACTATGTTGGAGTCTATTTGAATAATTTGACTATGTGCCGCCACACGCGAGGACGACTGATTCTTTCTCCTTGATCATATCATCTCATATTGTCGTCCGCAGCAGCTGTGGATTGATTTCTCGTCCTTGGACACCCTCCCTTTCTCCATCATCCGGTACGGGTTCAGCCTCCGTGCTGCAGCAATCAAGCTATCCGCTTTGGTAAGTTGAGAAGGTGGTTGGTTAATCTCAGCTGCAAGGATGGCAAATAGATTGTTGATGTCCGGCTATGTAAAAACTTCAATTAATGCAGCTTCCACTTCTCCTCCTAAAATGAGTGCGCGATGCCAGTGCAAAACCATGGCATATCCAGGTAGCATTATTTTCCTGTTAGTAATATATATTTGATGCGCATAAACTACTCTTCATAGCATGTGAATATCAAAAAGAGACCAGCTGCTGCGAACCACGAAAGGGATTCTCGCCCTTTGAACAGGCTTTGCAAGGCTGACAATATTGCCCACACCAAGCGCTTGGAGCCAAGCGAGTAAATAAGTGCGGCTAATTTAGCATTGATTGGAGGAGCCTGGAAACGAAAGGGTCCGAGAACCGTTGACAGGGTATGGATTATGCGGAGGTACGACAATGGGCGTGGGTTGGCTGAGTTTTGTCTCGACATATTTTTGATTCGTTTTTTTTTTTTTTTTTTTTTTTTTCCTTTTTGCATTTTAGACCGTTGCATGGTGAATTTGATTATCAAGCGATCGGCATGCCGGGACCTGGAATTGTCAGAACTCGGAAACTCTTTCAATGTTCTAACACCCAGTTTGCCGTCTCAAAGAGAAGAACAATAGTGAGCTTGGTTTTCTTTCTTCCATATCCGCATGGCAGTGGATCTTGACGAAGATCGTCTGCTTCAAATTTCCAGTTACGATACGAATGCAGAAAACTTTGATGAACAAGCGAGGAAAACTCAGCCTCCGTGATTGCCCAGCATCTGAGGTTTCAGTTTCTCAGGATGTTGGTTTAGGATAATGGTCCATGCTCTGGGGGGTCCATATCTGTCCGGAGAGGGGTTCCTCCGGCCCAATAAAAACATGCGCACAGCCCTTAATTTCGTAATTTGCTTTGGTATGGCTTGCAGTGGGCAACTCTGGCTAAGAACCAAGGAGGTACTTGCCAGGGACCTAGGTTCAAGTTCAACTTGCGCCTGCGGGGTTCAAATTTCAAGGGACGAATGTGACGGGAGATGCCGTTTAGCAGCTGAGTTAGTGTACCAAAAGCTGGGTTCTGACCCTCTAACTAACCGGGTTGGATTCGGCAGTTTGAGGCTTGTTATATAGAAATAGTGCCTGCAGTTCGGCTTGAGATGATTCCTAAGCATATTGCCTCGGAAGCTTAGCGATAATAAGTCTAGGTGACGAGTCTGGCAGTGGGAGAATTAACTGCTGACTTTGGGTCCTTTTTTCCCCAGCAACCAGTTATGCGTGCTGGAAACTGGATGCAAACAACGTGCGTATGAAACTCGAAAAGAAAAACTCTACCAGCTTAGGTAGTTAGTTAACTAGTTAGTAGTTAAGCTGGTTAGTTAGTAACCACAGAGCCACGTATCGCTCGGATTACAGAGAGGGCGTTCCCATCCCTGCACCTTGGGGTCTGTTCCTTGCCCTTTCATCCCCGAAGCCAATCCATACTATGCAGCTTAGCATCATCCTGGGGTGTTTTATTACGAATGTCTCACTGACACAAGGGATGAAGGGACATCAATTGCGTTTAATATTGTGAAGGATCGGTAATGGAATGGAATTTGTGGAATGAGAGACAAATCACCGAGACAAAGACCCCATGAGCCAGAGATAATTTCGAGTTTATCATGTTTGGTCATTGCCCTCGTGGTGCGGTGGTGAAGCATTCCGCGCAACCTGAGGATTGGGCGACGTCCGTCCATCCACTTATGTCAGGGTGACAACACACAACCATTTGTCAAAGTTATCAGACATCAATTCTCAGGTTTACGTCTGTGATAAGTAACTTGAGACTATGTCGTGCAAGATTTGAGTGTCTTGATCATTTTCAAGGAATGAAAGATAACAGGTGATCTTACACATTGGTAAATATAATATCATCATGGAGTGTGGATCTGGTGATATTGTGATCCAATGGTTGATGGGGGTCTTAAGGGCGGCTACGATCTACACGACCATTGACTAGAAAGTAACATGAGGAGCGGAATCAAGATAGAAAATATAGGATTATCAGCTCCTACCATATCCATTTCTCCCGTTTACGTTCGTGTAGCATCTGATATGGCAAATCAAAACAGCATAATTCACATCTAAGTGAGAGAAAGAAGAACACCTCATATAAAACCACGCTCCAGAGTCAGATGACAAAATCACATTATTTTGTTTTTAAAAAAAGAACCCTAAACACTTTACTCCTGAGCCAGAATCTTGTGGAAAGTCTCACCAGCACGATCAGGCTTGCCGGCGTCAAGGCCCTTCTGGCCAAGCTGCTGTTTCGAGAAGGCAGCAGCGTATGGATTGAGTCTGAGGAGGACCTGTCTGTTTTTGAGAGGGTTCTTCTTCTGGACGCCAGTTCTCTTGGTCTTGGCGTATCCCTTTGGCTCACGGAGGGCAGATTGGACTTCGGAAGAGTTGATAAGGCGGGTGATATCAGCGTTAGAGACGAGGTTGGATGGGAGGAGGAAGTCCTTCTTAAGGGCGGATGGGGTGGTGGTGGAACCGTAGATGGTGTCAAGTGCGGCAAAGGCGGAAGAGGTCCAGACGATGAAACGACCAAGGTGTCCGCCAGGGGCCAACTGGAGGAGGTTGAGAGAGAAAACGGAGGAAGTCTCAACACCGGGGATGTTGCGGAAGGCTTTGACTAGGTCTTTTCCATCGACATCTGGGTTGTAGACGACGAGAGGTCCACGGCGTTGGCGGTATCTTCGGCCACGCATCTTGCCCTTTCCAGCGCGGATCTTGCGGGATTCCTCGACCTTGACGAGATCTGGGCCAGCTCCGACGTTCTTGAGAAGGGCGATGGCAGCCTTGGTCTTAACGATGGCGTTGTTCTCGAAGGCCTTGGAGTCGACTACGAGGGGAACTTCGGGGACACTGGCAACACGGTGACCACGGGCAAAAAGAAGGGCAGGGACGGACGAAGCAGCCAGGGCAGAGGCGGTAGCAAATCGCCTAGTAGAGCACTATTAGAATCACAGATTGACTATCTTCAATTTCTTCCCCCCCTCCCATCTCAATCATCAACTGAACTCCGTTTGAAAGGCTTACTTTTGACCAAGGTTAATCTTCTGGTGCCATTTTCTCCAGACCTTAGTGGGAGCGAACATACGACCGGCGCGACATTGATTACCGAAAGCAGCTTGACCAGCACGGTGTGTTCCTCCTCCAGAAACACGGGGGATACGAGCGACAGCACGTCCTTGTAGATTATCAGTGTTTTTTGCCCTTTTTCCTCCCAAAACAACGAGCTTATTTGATAGTATAATTGCTTTCCACGTACCAGTACCCCAGGACTCGGCGGAAGTTTGTTCACCAGCCTTCTCGCTCACGGCATATGGCTGTCTCTTGTTTTTCGCGATACCAGTGTGCACCGACCTAATTTCGCCATCAGTTTATACCCCAACAATCAATGTTCTTAGTCTTCCGCTCGCAGGCTTACTGGACAATGTCGGGTCGGATTGGCGATGTGAAAACAGCGGGCAAAGGGTGCGTTTCACCGCTGGGCTTGCCCTCAGCATTAGCGATGGTGACAGTTGGGCGAGATGCCATTTTGTCGACTTGTTGCTGACCGTCGTTGGCGGTGATTGTTGAAAGCAGACGTTGGCGACTTCAAATCCACGGACTTTCAATGTGGGTTTCGCTTGGGGTAAGGAGGGTTTGGAGGGCTTGTTGGGAAGGTTGCAAACCCTAAGCCCTTATTTCCTGATTGGGCGGCTTGGCAACTGAGGTAAGATATTTACTCACGTGATGTTCGAATTCAACTTCCTGCTCCGGCAACATCCTGTGCTCTAACATGACGAGAAGAATGCGGTTTCGAAACAACATCCAAAGAGCTTTCTTGATCATTGATCTTCGGACATTAGTGTTGCCGGAATTGCTTCTCATCCTTAGCTGAGCTGTGGACGACGATAATTTGGTCACTACTTTCTTTTCAAACCTAGTCGTCAAAGATATTGAGAAGATCCCATTACTTTTGTCTTCGGGATACAAGGAAGAACACGACGATTTTCTTCCTGCGTCGGTTTCTTTCTGTGCTTGATTCATCTAGGAATATATCTCCTCATCACAGTTTTACTCATAAACCCGGCTCCATCATATTTTGAGTTTTGTCCTTGAAAGAAGGCGTCAACATATACCTGTTAATATTCCCGAGAACATGCAGATTTACCCTTGGTGACATTTACGACGAATAATATGAGAGTTACCATTTGAAGTCCTATTTTCACTTTCTCATCAGCTTATATTGGCTGACTGGAATCAATGGTTTTATCCAACTCGTGATTGGCAACGCCCTGCCCCAACCGCCCATCGGGCATAAAAACGGCATCAGAAACGTTTCAGATTGATTATGAACATTAAACCGTGGTTGCAGTGTATTATTATCTAGCTATCTATAATAGCAAGAAACAGTTCGGGGACGCCGCGGAAACAATCGCAGAGAATCGAAAGTGGAGGAGCTTTGATATATAGCATCCAATCTTGAAGTCAGAGCATACGATGTAAAACCTTTTAAGTAACCGATGACATATTTAATATGGAGCAGTGCTAGTCAATGGACAGAATAGCAGATTCTCCCACCCCTCTGTACTGTACCCAGCCATAATCCTTAAGATACGAGGTAAGATAGACAAGATGATTCCCCAGCATGATCCAGCTGTAAGGAAAGGGAGTTTACCTGGCGGACTGAGAATTCGCTGTATGCCAAATAAGGTGGGGATTTAGTGCAATGTGGAACTAGTTATATGTAAGAAGCATGTGTTTGTGAATCTCCATCCCACTGATATGTTGTATAGAATGTTTTGCTTGGTGGGTTGAATGTCTTTCAAGAAGGAGTCGTATACAGGAGATCAGAACTAGAGGGTTTGGTATAAGGTAAGTGGGATCTGTTGTTAAAACAAGGACCAGGTTATTTTTTTATTTGTTTCATTTTTGCTTTTTAATAACGAATACTACCATATAGAAATTTGGCAAGGGATACTTTCTTTTTAAAAATCTTTTGTTGACTGTGAAGGTTTCTATAAACAGTGGTATAAGGGGTTATGTGAGGACAAGGGTTTGAACTGAAGTGAAATTAAGGAAAGAAAAAGAAGCGAAACACAGAAGGTCCCGTATTTGACAAAGAAATCCCAGTCACAGGAGAACGACAGGAATTAAAGAAATGAAAAGAAAGTTTACAAATGATGACGCACACCTGTTTCTACTCAAGGAAAACATGATGACCAGACCCAATAATTATATGACAACGAAGAGGATATCAAGAGCAACAAGTGGAATGACGGCAAAATGAACTGTAGATAACTTCTGCAAGTCAAACTCCACATGAACAGATGCCGTAGACCACCACATAAGGCCAGAAAGGAGAAAAGAAGGGGTGTGAGGGTATGAGAAATCAGAAGGCCAGTCCAGCAAAGAATTTATATCAAGTTCGTATGTGATAACTATTCCTTTCATTTCCCGGCAATGGCAAAGTTGACCAATCAACTGCTTTCCGACATACCGCTCCTCAGAAGTTAGTAATTTCGATTTTCTTTTTCCTGTGTTTATTTTGCCTCACGACAGATGCGAACCATGGCCCCTTCGTCGATGCATCTTAGCTGGAGCGACAACACCGCGCTTCACCACTGAGATGTCAATGTCTCCAGAGTTGGATGTGCACTTAGTTCCTTGCGCAACCGCGGTCACGGCAGACCACATACCGCTCGCACAACGTTGTAATTTCAGACCGTTACCAAAGCAGTTCCATTCACCCTCGTTTGAGCATGGGCCATTCATGGAACCGCCGCTGCCGCTGCCACTGTTGCTAGAATTCTTGTCTATGGCAGTGCCAGCGCCAGCGCCAGGATTGGGTGCGGATAGGGGTGAAGCTGGAGTGGCAGAGGGCCCTGGTGCCGAGAGTTTCTGTGTTGCGAAAAAGCCCGGGGAGACTTCTGGGGCGTTAAATGGCCGGGATGCTATTGGGGCCGATGCGTAGCTTGAGGGCAGAACGACACTAGGAGAAGTGGGCGGTGAAACAGGAATCGATTCTGGAGTTGGATATTGAGGCTCAACAGAAACCGTAGATGAAGGTGGGGGTTTGGAACCGCCACTCCCATTACCAGGAATAGGACCAGGTTTGCCATCCTTCCAGCTGCAGATGGGTTGGTTGGTTCCCATGAGGTTTGAGGGCTTGCCCGCATACTGAACAGATTCTCCTGGGTTTGGGAAGCGAATGTCCTTGCCCTCGCTGGTGGTGCAGCCGTTGATGTTAGCCACGAACATCATTGGTAGATCTTGGCGTTTGGAGAGGGAGACGTGGTTGGCGGTCTGGGCGGTTGGGAGGGGAGCGTAGCGACGCTTGACAGCTGCAGTGACGGTGATCGCAGCACAGTTCATGTAGAGCTCGCGGTTGCCGATTCGGTTATACCAGGTCCAGGCGAAGGTGTAGTCACCCGGCTTGATGGTATCGGGGATCTGGAATTTGAATACGGAGGCACCAGTTCCGTTGGCGTCCTCCGGCAGATTACCATCTACTGAGGAAGGACAGCCCCCCTCGATGGAGTGGATGACTTTCCAGACAGAGCTCTTATTAGGAAGTTTGTCGTCGGTGATGGAGAGCTGGCAGGATCCACCACCGTGAACAGCGCTGCCTTTAAATGACAGGGTCTGCTGGGAACCAGCCGGGAAAATATTTTCAGCGGGAACTGCGCCGTTACCAGCAGTGTACGTATCGCTAAATTTGCAGGGGAAATCGGCTCCGCTAGGATCGAGGGGACTGTTGGTCAGCTGTTCGGGATTGAATGGAGTTGGTGAGGTGATGACCATGTGGGCATCTACGGTGCTAGCGGACAACAAAGCTGCGACCACAGCCACAAATGAGGTTGAAAAATGCATGGCTATACGTATTTTCCTTTCCTTTCCTTTTAATCGTCGATTTAATGGGAAGAAAGTTTGGAGATTTGGTGGATGGGCTTCACAGAAGCGATCTGTATGCTGTGTTGATCTGGCGACTTGGTTTTGAAGGAGTGTGTGCACTGAACTAAGGTTCAAGTGCTCCTTATATCTTTTCTGATAACTCGTTCCAGACGAGAGCCTTGGAGAGTAAGAGAAAGTGATTTCGATAGGGACTGTAATAACCCACTGAACAGCGAGGGGAAGAGTAGACAGTAGTCGAGCAAGAAAAGGAGCGAATCTTATTAGAGACTGTCAGTAAATGCAACAAGAAGAATCCAGAACACAGGGGTGATGCAAAATTGTGAATGTAATGTTCTGTTCTGGAAAGGAGAATAAAGAAAACACCAGTTAAAGGAAGTTCAAAGATGTATTGAATATCAAAAATAGGTCACATCTCAGATGCCGGAAAGTTCCAGCAGTTGTGACATAACACAGAAGAGAAGAAGTTTACCTTCGTAGAGAGCAGTTCTGTAGCAGTTCACAGAACAGAAAGTGATAATTTGCTGAGAGTTCGCTTTGCCTGACAATGCTCACGAGAAGCTATGGATATATTCCTTCTGACCACGCAGACTTGCTTTGACTATTTCCAAGGAATGTATAGACTCTTGAACTAGGAACCAGTCCTGTTATCCTAAGTCGAAGAAACAAAATCTAACAAAACCCTTAACGAGGATGAGAGGATGAGAGATTGAACTGTGGGTACGGTCAAAACGGTCCAGCGTGAGAAGGGAAAAGAAATAAAACAACCATGGTCAATAGGCGGGCATCGAGGTTAATATAGCACGATGGCCTGTCGGAAGAGAAGAGAGCACACCGAATACCAGGCTACGCCTTCACCGGGCGACCCTCCGGATACTCTCAAAAAGCGTGGACAATACCAGCATTGACTGCAAGCCTGTCATCCCCCCCCCCCCGCCCCCTGCCTGCACGCTAGGGCAAGTTAATATCCACTTCCTGTGCCTCCCAAAGCGGCCCATTTGGCGGCAGTACTTAGGTCAGGACCAGACGTTGCAGAGTGGATGATGTCAAGGGAGGTATTTCGAGGTCATTGGCCCGCAGAGTTTTGGCTGGTTACAACCATCACCTGAGAAGGGAAGGTCAAATTTTTGCATGGCGTCGCCCAGAACGAGAAATTCGAAACATGCTAATGCAGCTGAGCCAATCCCCACCACGGTGCAGGTTTCGCGTCGCGCGAGTGACGCCGGTTTGGAGACCCTACCCTTGGCAGTGGCCACTCAGCGTGTGATGTTTCGATTGTTCATCGCAACATCCGACACGGACAGGGAGAAAGAAAAGTAATATGAGGGAGAAGCCGAAGAGAATGATATCGTTAACTTAGACCCTAGGTACGGGCTAGTTACCGAATACATCCCCGCGCAAAGTGTTTCTCGTTGCCCAAATTGCAAAGGAACCCAACCCAACTGTTGAACAGCCCTGGAGCATCAGCATCAGCCTCTCAGAGCCGGGGGACAGTGAGTGCATCTTCCCGCAGTCCCAGCAGCTTGTGGCAAGCACTCAACCCCCTTGCAGCAATGCAGCAAATCAATGTGAGAATCGCATTTCTGCTTTTGACACTCTTTCCCTCTGAGATATTATTTGATGGAGACCAAGGAGTGGTTCAACCGTTTGCGGCATGTCCCACAAATTTACGCGCCATATCTCGAGAAAGTTACAGCGGCATCACCGTTGAAAAACCTGCCGCTGGTTGATATCCATGGAATAATATTCGAATAATTATGGCGCGCAGGATAATCTCCATCATTATTTCTCTTTGAAAGGGAGCATAGAAATGAACAAGAATCTTCCAATCTTCCACAATTCTCACGGTTGTTGTTCTTACTACTCTCTTATTGATCCACTATCTCTAGATACAATGCTCAGCGGAGGTTGGACTTCGAGGGTCTCGCAACCCCTATTCAACATGCGTAAAACAAGAAAAGAAACAAAAATCTCAAGCCACTTGGAACGAACGCATGAAAAAATTTGCTCCAGAACGCCAAGCGAAGGCACGGAATAATATCTGGTATGTTCTAAGACTGAGCAGAACGTATAAGGTTGACCCCACAGGGGCGAAAATCTTTTGCATCCCATGTGCACCCCCGCCTTGGTCAATTCTACTGGCCCAGCACGGAGAAACCTTGCAACCTATAGAAGATGCAGTAGAGACTCGACGGATTCGACGAGCCGACGCCCAGCACACAACTGTTTTCAGGCACCAGGGGCACTGAGGCTTTGATTGGTTCTGGCGTCCCCAATCCAGCCCTAGCATCCTCCCAAAGGGTAGTCAAGGGCAGTCCCTGGAGACGTTTTCGCCAAGCTGCCGGGGATTTTTTTTTTTTTTTTTTTTTTGTGCATGCCAAGTTTCAAGATTTTTAACCCGCAAGAAAAACCTGCTCAGCCTCAAGGGTGTTGGGTTCGTTTTCCCTTTTGGAGGTTTGACGGGGTGAGAAACTTTTCTCAACCCTGGTCCTGGCCTCATGGGATTGTGTTTATTTTGTCTTCCGCGCCTTTGCCGTACTATTTACTCGTCCTCTCAACAACATCTCCATATAATTAATAGTTAGGGTAGATACACTGAAGAGAAAAGCCAAGAGAGGAGGGCATCTGGTTTTCCAAGCGCTATTTATTTTTTTATTTTTTTATTTTTATATATTTTCTCTGCTCTAAATCTCAAGTAAGTTGCGTTGAATGACCTCATCTCACGTATTTACCTCCCTCAACCCCATTCCTTACTCAGCTACATTTATCTCTGCTATGCTACGCACAGTAAAATGTTAAATTTGCTAGGGCATTGATCACAAGCTGCTTCGGATTCTCTCCGATAAGGTTACAAGGAATAGACGGCTTCATCCAGAAATCTAGATCCGCAAACTTTACCTGAACGCCCTTCATCCCCAAAACCTGAAACACCCGCTGCCGGCAATGAATATCTAAAGTGGTTTTTCTGACAAGCATCAACTTCACTTGTCGACTGGGGGAGGCGTCGAACGTTAATTTCCGTGATACATATTATTATTTTGCAATTAGCTTTTGAGTTCCAATAAGATATGCAATTTCAAAATGAGATACGCTTTTGCTGAAGGGCGCTGAAGTTTTCTCGAATGTGATCGTATCTGCTGGTCATACATAGTTATTCCATTCCAAAGTGATTGTATGAATCCGCTTTTCTAAATGCCAAACCTCCTCGTCCAATGAAGATATATATATATATAATGAATACACAACCCAATGACCGGGTTGCCTTGTGGGTTGCTTTGATGTGCGTAATAAGAAGAATGTCAGTTCGGCATGAGCGCTGAACTGGCTTGTTCTCTTGGTCAATGATCAAGAACCTGCAGCAATAACTATACGAGTCTGCCAATAGCCTTTGTGGACGTTAGGAACTCGACAGGCGTCATTCTCTATGATTGACCGATTGATCATCCCGATGATCTTGAATTGCTTTCTCTCATTTTTATATTTCGTGCAGAGTACATACAAGCAAGCAAGCAAATAAATGAAATCACAAATCACAAGCTATTCCGTGATAACTTCTAAAGCTTCGCCGGTTAAGAAATCCTCCGTAGCATGTGGTGTATCTACTTCGCAAGCCGGCATGCAGAAACCCCCCCCTCCCCCCACTTCAGGACTCGGAAAATTTTGAAGCTGCATATATCATGACTAAGTCCCATATAGTGAGGTGGGCCATCCGGTTAGGCAGTGTATGGCATCTCGATGGTGCAATAGGTGAGATAGGACATAAGCATACATCCTTTAACCACCTGAAAATATCCATTGTATCTCTTAAACAACCAGTCTTGAAACACTGGGCGGTCATCATTGCAAGGAACAGAAGATGGCGTTTTATTCACCAATCCACAACTTCCTTTGCTCCGCAAGTTCTTGCTGAAATTTGCCCACTTCGCGTATTCATTGGCTACTCTCCATCCAGCCTATCTCTTTGCGAGGTTGAGGGGCCATAGTGATGACTTGTTTCCAGTTTTGTTTCGCGTTCGAAAACATATATTTCTTTCTATCGAATCGGATTTGTTAACCTGGTTTTCGAGGCTCCTCTTGAGGGCTCTGTGTCCTGGCCGGCGGAGAGTGACTGGCTGGATGGCAGGGAGCGTATAGCATCCAGCCAAGTGGTTGACATTTCGCACATCTAGGACTCACTGCATGTTTGAGATAAAATGGAGACTCCTATTGCTCATTCACGTTAACTTGGACTGACATATTTCCATTGTTAAAACGACGATGGTAAGGATGTCGATGGACGGGTGTGAGCATTAGGCGCCTGATGTGTGCTATGTTTCGTTTCTACCATTGGAAAGAAGGTTTTCATCTCAACGAAAAATTATTACGTCGAACGGCCGGCCAGATTTGAGTGTCAAAAAACCCCAGGATGACCAGCTCCTCACATACATGGAATAACGAAAGGCCGTCCGTCTATAGGGTTGCGGTCATGATGAAACCTCTCGCAAAAGCAACTACACATTTCCTATTCATATACAGCACAAGATCGAAAGAGCGTGAATTAGATATAAAGATGTCAGCGCCTTTGTCCCCTTCCTGCTTTGATAAAAAATGTTAGATAGATCTATACAGGGCCTAAGGGCTTCCCTGAGACCTATCTAAATGGGTGTGGTTGAAATCACTCTCATCAAGGATGACATATATCATGTATCTAGAGTATTGGCAATCATAGAATCTGACTGTATAGAGCCAAGGATAAGAATAAGAATAAGAATAACCCACATATTTCCTAGGTCCCTAGATATTTCTCGGGCCTTACTAGCTATTTCACCACATAAACACCAGGTAAAATCCCTGAATTCCACTAGCTTTACAAGATAATAGCCGCTTTCCCGGCAACCTAGGACGCAAAGGGCCGAGGAAGTCGGCACTAGCATCGCCAAATGACCCTGTTAAGGTTGAAAAGGTAAAAGCAGCAGCACCGACAAAATGCCAGATGGCAGCAGAGACAAGCACCGCGGATAAATTAAGCGGCTCACAATCTCGAGCTAATGTTGGTGAAACCGTCGTAAATGGGATGCGCGGGGGATGGCCGTGCCTTGGCATCCGTATATAACACCATCTTGCTATCCTATTGCTTGGGTATTCGGTAGCAAACAAACAGCCCGTTGCTGCTGGATTTCAAAGTTGCTCAAGATTTGTTACATATAACGGAGTTGCTGTTGGCTCCACCCCGCGTTTTGAGTGGTTTTCGAAGCACTTATCTCACTATCTAGATATATCATATCATGTCCACGTACGCCGTACCCCGCAAACTATGGGAGCATCCTGATCCCGAGTCGTCAAATCTCGGCCAATTTCGACGACGGTTGGAGCGCAAGACCGGGTTGAAGTTTCCGGTATATACATGCTCCAATTACAGATTTTGATTTGTTTTTCAATTTGTTTTGTGCCTATGCTTGACTTGGATTTTTGAGGTTTCCTTTTCGAGATATCCTTCAACAGATCGCCTTTATTTTTGGGCATTGGTTGGTGTGGTGGAATGTAGGAAGAACCACCATTGCCATGGGAAGTAGTTGGCGGTAATCGATATCACAATTATTTGCTGCATTTGTGCGGTTGTTTTTGTTTAGACTTAGCATGTTGTGTCGTTTGGCCTTTTTCGTCCTCGATGACAGTCTGCAAGCGATGACACTCTCCCCTTTGCCAAGGATATGGACCAAATGATTTTTGACAAGTTAACATAAAACAAATTTTCAGGACTTCCTCTCCTTGTACGATTACTCCGTCCAAAACCGTGCGGCATTTTGGGATTTCTGCTGGCATGACCTTAGCCCGATCCACTCAGGCAGCCACACGACAGTCGTCGATGAGTCTGCACGCATGGACAGCGTCCCTGAATGGTTCGAGGGCATCTATATGAATTTCGCGGAGAACACTCTTTTTACTGCTGGACAGGCTAGTGTGTCGCCTTCAGTTGTGTGCACGACAGGCAAGGAAGATGAGAAGATCGCTCTGACGGAGATAAGAGAGGCTGGTTTGGAGGGAAGGCGGAATGTCTCATGGGGGGAACTGAGAAGGGGAGTTGGCCATTTGTCGCAGGCTATGAAGGCTGCTGGTGTGAAGAAGGGGGATAGGGTGGCCGTCGTTGCGAGTAATAGTTTTGATACACTTGTCGTGTTTCTGGCTGTGACTGCGCTTGGAGGGTTATTTTCTTCGAGCTCCACTGATATGGGAGTGAAGGGAATTTTAGATCGTTTGCTACAGATCAAGCCCCGATGGCTGTTTATGGATGACTGGACAGTGTATAACGGAAAGACCCTTGATTTGAGATCGAAAATGAAAGAGATCGTTGAGGGAATGGAGGCGGTGGAGGAGTTTCAAGGCGTCGTGTCGCAGCCTCGATTCCAAGATCGCCCTGCTGATGTGAGCGCGGTGCCTAGGACGCAAACTTTGGCTGCTTTCTTGTCGAAGAGGACTTCAGATAGGTTGGAATTTGTGAGAGTCAAATTCAGTGATCCATTTTTGATCGTATATTCATCGGGTAAGAGAATGTTCCAAAGCTTTGTCGTTCTACACAAAGGCCTAATACGAAAGGCATCATCAGGTACCACCGGAATCCCAAAATGTATTGTGCACTCTGTTGGAGGTGTTGTTTTCACTGGAATGAAAGAATCAAAACTGCACCGAGAATTGAAGTCAGATTCCGTGGCCATGCAGTACACAACAACAGGATGGATTATGTATCTCGCGGCACTACAGCCATTATTGCTGGGATGCAGGGTGGTTTTGTATGACGGTAGTCCACTGTTGCCCGATGTGACTGCGTTTGTTAAACTAGCGGGAGAGCAGAAGTGAGTTCTGCCTCAAACTGATTGCAAAGGCGCCATTCTAACCAAGTCAGGGTTACCCACCTGGGGACATCTCCACGATATCTGCATGAATTACAAAAGAACGGCATCCGACCCCGAGAAATAGTTGATCTTAGCAATCTGAAGGTCGTAACAAGTACCGGCATGGTGCTTTCTGATGCCCTTTTCGAATGGTTTTATGATGAAGGATTCCCGACTACTGTACAATTGGCCAATATTTCCGGTGGCACGGATATTGCGGGTACATTTGGGACCGAAAACGCGTTGACACCGTTGTATGTCGGCGGATGCCAAGGGCCCAGCCTTGGAACCCCTATTGCTGTCTACGATCAGACAGTGGAAGGCGGAAAAGGGGTAAAAGGGATTCCACTCGAACATGGGGTTCCAGGGGAATTAGTAGCCACCGCAGCATTCCCTAACATGCCCGTTATGTTTTGGGGAGAGAACGGGCCACAACGCTATTTCGATGCTTATTTTGCTCGATTTGATGGTATTTCGATCCTACTCCTTTCCCGAAGAGAGGTCATTGGCTAACGATCTATTAGATGTTTGGACCCACGGCGACTTTATCATGATCCATCCCACCACCAAACAAATATTTTTCCTGGGACGCGCAGATGGTGTTCTCAACCCATCAGGGGTGCGGTTTGGATCTGCGGAAATATACAGCGTTCTTGAAACAAAGTTCGCCAATGAGGTTGCTGACTCTATATGTGTGGGACAACGTCGACCGCGGGATGTAGATGAAACCGTGATGCTCTTCCTGCTCATGCGCCCAGGTGTTTCTTTTACTCAAAAACTGGTAGAGGAAGTCCAAGCGGCCATAAAAGTAGAACTGAGTCCTCGGCATGTTCCAAAATATGTCTTTGAGACCCCAGAAATCCCCGTGAGTACAGTCTGTTCCTTCTTCTTCTCCGATTCACGGGAGTCGCGTGTTGACTGTATCCAAGACAACGGTCAATTTGAAGAAGGTTGAACTCCCAGTCAAGCAAATTGTATCCGGTAAGGTAATTAAACCATCAGGCACATTGGCCAACCCCGAGAGTCTGAATTTCTACTACAGATTTGCAGAAGTAGAGAAACTGGTGAACCAAAGAAGCAAGCTATAAACCCAAACACTTGCGGAATGTCCAGATTTATTTAGACAGCAAAAGTTTAAAGCTTTGGAAATAGAAGATGGCAGAATCATCGTTTACCCTTCTTTTTGCCTTTTTCCTGAGTAGAACTGGCTTCAGATTTCGTAAATCCACCCTTGAGTAAGGCATCTCGAGCCGTTATATTGATGATTCGGAAGCGATCAGGGCCCAATTTAACTCCTCCGTACCATCTTGTAACAACAACGACCACATTCCATACATTCATCAATTGTATGAGATGCAGCAATCTGCCACCAGCAGCTGTTTCACCATCATCGTCAAAATCTTGAAAGATAGTGTCCTCACCTGCAGGAGCACCACTCGAGCCCGTTGCCATTTTTTGCCTAATACGCCAGGCTGTGATATTGTGCGTTGCATTGGCAACCTTCTTCTCTGTGCCAAGGAGGTAATCTAGATACTTTTTAGCTGTTTCCCTCGATTGGACTCTGGCTGCACGAGCAATAAATACGGATTTCTTTTCCGTGATTGGATCCGACAGTACCCAATCTGGGGGATTATCGAGGCCAAAGGATGCATGTAACGACTGTGGAGGGACATCGATATCCGGAGATCCAGAAACCAGGGCTCCATCTTCGCGAGAAGGTTCCTCGAATTCTCCCGCTCGCATTTCACTGAAGCGATCTGCGCAATCCTCTATAACGTCATAGAGACACACAAAGCCCTTTTGCCAAACTTTCTTCACTGAGTTCCTGAGTACATTCAGCCATTTTTCTCCTTCACCGCGATAACTTGTGGATGCAGTGCCAATTACTCGTGGAGGAGTGACGGGGTATTTTTCGTCGAATGCAATAAGGAAAGAGAAGTCCGAGTGGTCCGGGATGCTCAGTACTATTGTGGTGGTGAGGGGTATCTGTTCTGGACCAGAGGGAAAGTAATTGGAAGTATTCGACGTTAGTATTATTGTGGAAGAGCCGTATATTGCGTTTACAGAGTCGATCTCCTCAGCGAGTTCATCGTTTAGGCTTGAAGTCATTGTCGTGAGAGGCTTCGGGGATCCATAAAACAAGACCTCCTTCGACTGCTTTTAGTCCCCGTGAAACTTAAAGAAACTAAAAAAAATGGAGACCAGAATAATAATAAACAATTAGCAATCCCGGGTTTAATTGGTCCTCCCGCGTAAGACAATGTCTGCGCTCTACAGAGTATCTCCATGTTAATGTTGCGAAAGTTGATGAATCGTGCGTCGGATAAACCTTTTAGCGACTCCGACCAATTTCAAAGTCATTCGACATCTCAACTTCACTTTACATCCAACAATCTTCAACCAAAGAACAATCTGGGGTTGACTTAGTAGCAAAGAAACCCCCCAAAAAAAATTGTCGAACCGGCGATTGTAATCCAAAGGCTGTCTTTTCCTATATCAAATCCAAAGACACAATGCCACAGCGTCCTCCTACCCAATGTACGAAGTTTAACGGCTAGCTGCTATGCGATGAAACACCCATCTAAACATCACACACACTCTCTATCTCTATCTCTCTTTCTATATACATGTATAAAACGAATATGCACTGGGAAAACATAAACTATGGCTACTAATCAATTACCAAGAGCGCAAAGAACGAAGTTGGTCATATCTCAAATTTCCACATAATCCCTCCATCATCTCCATCATTACCCTCCCCAAAACACTCCCTGTTCCAAAAATCCCTACACCCTTCCACAAACCCCCTGGATGCCTCACCCATCTCCCCTTCCGGGATAGGCGCAAAACACAATCTAAAATACCTGTATGCCTCACCCTTCCCCTTCCCATCAGCCCAAGGACCTCCAGCGTGATCAAACATCACCCCTGGCGCCACAGACACAGATACGGCTTCTTAGTCAGATGCTTCCATACGCTTCCGAGAGCTCTTTGGCAGATTCCTGGGACCATAGTGGGTGTCTTTCGAAGCACACACGTGCTCAGACGAACATGCCGTCGCGCGGGAATTGAAACGTGTACATTGGGGCTTGTAGAGGAGTTGCCAACCGTCGTCGCCATCCACATCATCGCCACAATCGTCGTTGTGATTTCCATAGTCGCCAATGTTCAATGAGGAGGGTGAGGAGCGTCCGATAGTAAACCTCCGCTCTTCCAAAATCATACACATACTCCGCATGCGCTTATTGTCGGCCACCCGCAAACCCTCCAGCCACCGTACCCAGCCATCCGCTTTCCAAGCAATGGAATGCTTGCAACTATGACCGCTGTACCCATCAACACTCGGATACTCCTGTGAATTCTGATTGTAACTACCAACGATTATGCTTGCCACCATCGCTTGCACGAAGCCAGATGGTTTCTAGGTGCTCGTCTCCGCTATCAAGTCAATGCGCTCGATAAGCTCGGGTTGCGCCGTGAGCCAGCCCAGGCGGCAGCCGAGGCGATGGATTTGGGGAAGGTTTCTAGTCGGACTACGCGGCAGTCTGTATCATTTGTCGTGTCGTTTGTGACGCTGCGGAAGTGAGCTTCTAATGCATCTGCCGCGGAGGGATATTGGAGGTGCCAGTATGGGTCGTACGATGATGTCGCATTTTTCGCAGAGGGCGTAGATCTCTTGTCGTCGTGGGGCGGGGATGACGGCGCTGGTTTGGTTCTGGCCAATTCTACAATTGCAAGTGTTAGCAGGCTCAAATACAAAAGTGAACTCGGAAAAAAGCGGTAAGGGTAAAACCTATGGCGAATACGCCCGTTTGCTGGCTGGAAAAACTTACGTCACCGTATACATCAAATGTAGCTTCTTCCCTTTGACTGAAAACCCAATTCTCCAGAATATCCGCAAGCCTCCTCTTCCCTTCACCCTGATCCCGCACCATCATTCCATCCGAATCCATAGCAACAGTTACGACGTTAACACCCCTTGGCCTCGCGGTCTGTATGGCATTCATATACACAAATTCCTTGCACAACATACACTCGGTCTCTCTAATCCAATCGCTCTTCTTATCCTAGACATTCGTCAGCGCCTCGACGGTCTTGAAGAACCCATCAGTGGCTCCGCATGTGAGAATCACCTCTGGGCCGTCTTGGTATGGCACATTTGGATGGAGATTTTCGCGGACGAATTGGCGGATGAAGGAGAGGAGGGGTGGGTAGGCTGCCACAGTGACGTATTGGAGGGCGGTGGTTATACCGATTCTCTTTTCCGGGTTGGTGCTGATGCTTTCCTTCGGGATGGTAAGCTCGGCTGACAAGGTAGGGGTTTGTGAGGGATTCTCCCCATCCCGGTCGACATCGAAACGGGTGGGAGGGGCGACTGCTACCTCTAGGGCAACATATGGGAGAAGGCCTGAATGTTTCATCATAATAATAATAATAATAATAATAATAATAATAATAATAATAATAATAATAATAATAATAATAATAATAATAATAATAATAATAATAATAATAATAATAAATAAATAAATAATAATATCAAAAAACAGTCAGAAAACCAATCTCCCTATCCTTGCATACAGAGAACCCTTAGTTTGGTATTTCCCTCCAACCAAGTTGTGAATGCCAGGGATGGCAAAGTACTTGTAAAACTTCTTCACATCACTTCCCACAAGGTTTTTAGAAGCAACGGAGAAGTGGTGGGTCAGGTCGAGAGGAGGCGAGAGTTTTATTATTTGCTATCCTAGCTTCTCTCGGTTTACCATATCCACAGAGATTTCTGGATTTAGTGTCAGGGTCTGATGATATGATTGGGATCAAAGATCCAACCGAGTGTTTATTAGCTGCTATGTTGGTGTCGGATTTCCGAGATATTGTGCTATGAAACAAAAATATGATTTGCCAGCCAACCAGTGTCCACACAGGAAGGTTTAATCCGGGCTGATAAAATCAATATATAACCCTATCACTGTATCAGGCACAGGGTTGCGGGAAGAATATGGGGTCAGCGCTGGTCCTTGTATGGCATACCCTCATACTGCTCACAGAATGTCTCAGAAAAGATGGGTTCAATCAAGAATGTATGAACAAGTCTTAAATTCGAAGCCGACGAACGGCATCTGGAGATTGTCTGTCCGCTGTCTCTGTTGCTTCATGTGCCTCCCAGGGACAGTAATCTGGAACAGAATCTAGGTTCTTTGCCTTTGAGTTCAAAGCCGATCAGGGGTTCTCAGACTTGAGTTACGTTATCCGGGCTAGTGAGGTCCCTTGCTTGAGTCATAGAAGGTATGCACAAGCGTGGCCAGCAAGTCATCATGGCACCTGGAAGCACCGTCAATGGTCTAGCTCACGGATCCATACCCGGATTTCTGATACGGCGAGGAGAAGCAGGGGGCCAAGACTCAACAGTAATCACTAACAAACTTGGCAGTTGGACGATGTAGCTGAAGGAGAAGGGAAATAGAGGGAGAAACAGAGCAAAATAAATAAATGCGTTTTGTGTATATTCAGATATTGGGGGATTGGCTCCATACTTTTGTTAGTTGGAAAACATCATTGTATTGCGATTGTTTGTTATAGTTCGACGGATCTATACACAAATTTATATGATTGGCTGAACTAATTTCGGAACAACTGAACTAATTAACTAACTAGATGAATCTAGACTCTTGATCACGTAAGGCAGATAGAGTTACGGGACCGACCCGCTGACTACTCCATCAGCTGACGTAACCTCAGCTCTCTCCGCTAAATCTATACATCTAGACTCAACACATCCTCCAACCTCCAACCTCCGCCACTTCATCTATTATATTTGTACTCGACAATCTTAACCACCCCCTCTTCCCCCCATCCCCTATCTTCTGACCGCGCTTGTTTGTTTTTGCTCTTCCTGCTTTTGGTTTCGGCATCGTGATACCCTCCATAGACTCTCCCTCCGCGTTTGTCTCCGTTGCTGTCCGTCGCTTCCGCTTCCTTCTGGGTCTGTTTGGGGGGCGCGGTCTGGGGGTCTGGGATATCTCTGGTCCATTCAAGTCCCCTAATATTCGGCCCTCCGACATATTCCTTCTTTCTCTCCAGCGTGGCAGTGTATTGGAAAGTAAATCATGGCTAGGGACCCGTGGAACGATGGAGAAGGTCTCTCCGGTAGAACTGTCATCGCCCCTCAGACCGGCGACGAGGAGCGACCGTACACCGACGAGCCAGATGGAATTCAACAACTAGGCATGTCTGGAGGCGTTGAACATTCACCCACTGCCTTTCCCATCCCGGTTTGGCTGGCTGAGTCCTCAAAGTCTTTCTACTGGAAATGGGTACCGCTATCCCTACGGAAAGCCGGCCGCTCGATCGTCAAATGGCTCAAGGGGCCCGACCCACCTCGAGTTCTCCTACTGGACCCGCTCTTCCCTAACATTCAGTCCGCTCCCGTCAAGCTGGTAGACCGCTTCTTTCCCAAACGGAAATACAAGATTGGTCTGCTGTTGGCGCTGTACTTCAGTTGGTTCCTCCCCTGGGCATTGATTCTGCGACATTCAGCTTCCGGTGGCTTTATTGAGGGCTATGGGAAACCATCTCCGATTTCATGTCGTCATAGCTACTGGTAGGTCTTAGTGGTTATATTTTTTTGTCGAAATATTTTGGGGTGACCCGTAAAACTCTAGATTCTGATTATGGCTTTGATTTTACTATAGGTTTCCAGGAAACGAATGTGGGCTGAATGGTTATGAATGTCGACCATTTAACGCCTCAACTTTTGCTTTTCGATGTCCTGCATTCTGCACCAGCTCTCTTGTCCTTAATCCGTACATGGTGGGCAATGAAACAGTCAGCTACCGGCCTCTTGTTGTTGGTGGCCCCGTTCCTGGCTCTTCCAGCGATGCCTATGAAAATGCCATCTATCGGGCAGATAGTCATGTCTGCCAAGCTGCAATCCACGCTGGAGTGGTCAGTGACTCGACAGGTGGCTGTGGAGTTATCGAGCTAACTGGTGCTGGTCACTCGTACTACGCCAGCAAGGCGCATAGTATTGCTTCGGTTGGCTTCCCTTCAACGTTCCCGAAATCATTTAGATTCCTACGACTGTCAGCCTCGCAGGCTGATTGCCCTGCAGATTTGCGATGGCCGCTATTTGCCATCACCGCCACTGCTATCGTTCTCGTCTCTGTCTTCACCACCTCACCCGCAGTGTTTTTCTTTACTACGTTTTTCATGCTCATTCTTCACGTGGGGCTCGTGTCTGACCCGCCCGACCTGCCTCGGGTTTCGGACCTCTTTTCTCTCCTATGTTCCAGACTTCTCCCTGCAAGCTTCATCGCATACGTTCTCTATATCTACTGCGCACGTCCTCTCTTAGCACCACTAGCCGCACCTCCAGTTTACCAATTCAGTAAAACAATCCTCTACTTGGTTCCCGCTTTCATTGGCGCTCTCAACAACTACACTTTCGCACAATGGATACCTATCCAACGCCTGACCCCGCACGACATCAAATCCCAACCTGGCGCCCGCATCGCACTGGCCATCGTGGTCACCATCGTCATCTTAATTGTTCTTGGCCAGGCCTGGCACATCCGTCAGGGCGGGCGCTTCTTCCACTACCTCAAGATCTACATCTGTATCGGCAGCGGCTTAATCTTCCTCCTCGTCCTCCCACAATACCGCCTGCGAATCCACCACTACATCCTTGCCATGCTACTCATGCCCGGCACCGCATTCCCTATTCGCCCATCAATTATATACCAGGGCTTGCTCCTCGGCCTCTTCGTCAACGGCGTCGCCAGATGGGGCTTTGCATCCATAATCGAAACGCCAAGTGCGCTGGGTGAATTACCCGGAGTTGGCGGCAGTAACGGCTGGTGGGGTGCTACGAGTCCCAACATCACCAATTCCTCCGTTGATATCTCGCTGCCCTCCGACGGATATACCGACAGGGGCAATGGGAACATCACATTCCGTCTGTGGGAGCCGGAGCGAATGGAGAAGCTTGACGTGGATGGGATCAGTGTGCTTGTCAATGATGTGGAGAGGTGGCGCGGGTATATGGATGAAGATGTTAAAGGGGAGTTTGTGTGGCATCGACATGGCCATAAGGGATTGGATATTTCAAGACCGAAAACTCCTGATCGTGGGGGTTATGGGGATGATGTTGATAATGATAATGGTGGCGATGATGAGTTTGCCTCGGCGCAAGGAGTTGATGAACCGGCTCAGGATTTGTTTTTCCGATTCGCATTTTTGAAGGGGTCTAAGCCTGGGCTATATGGTGGCGTTGGTGTCTGGAATAGAGATGGGAGCTGGACAAGTCCACCGCCACCGCGGACTTGATTTCATTTTCCGCTATTTGGACGGTTCGTTTTCTCATAACGTGTCATCAATGGATGGAATAATATTACTATCTAGACCCGTCCGACTGGCGTTTACTATTCTTCATCTATAATGATTTCCCTTTTTTTTTTTTTTTTAATTCATTTCACCTTTCACCTGTTTGCTATTTCCTCTGCGTCCTGTATGTTTCCTATACCTCTTTTCCGTGTCCGCATTTCTACGTCTTGTTGTCATTGCTGCTTGGACCCCATTTTCTTTCCTCTCTTTTTGTATTGTGCATTTCTGACACTCCACCCGGATTTGCGTAGACACAGCCTGTGACACCCCTCCTTTCAGTCTCTCTTCTTTTCGTCCATCTTACTCCTATCCCCTTTCTTCTCTCTTCACCTCTCTAATCCCGATTCTCCAGCCAGTCATGCATATGGCTGGTATGACATTGCGGTACGGCTGAATAGACTTGGCAGCACTGGTTATGTGGTTATTTGGTTGCATGGTTTCACAATTGAATTTAAACCGTCGAATACAGGAAGCATTTATACACCATGACAATGCATATATATACGGCACCTCAAAGCTGGCATAGGGTGCTCTTTGATTCAGAGATGTTAATTTGTTCATTGCATGTATATAACTATTTATAAGATAATAACTAGATGAAATTAATGTAAATTATGCGCGAAGGTTTCCTTTTCCCTTTGAAGCTACGAAGACAAATCAAAGACTTGAACACTCTTTTAGTCTAATCTAGTCTACTTTGCTACATAACTAAATCTCCGCTATAAACTAAAGTAAAGGTAGCTAGCTAGTAATACAGGGGATGAGGGGAACCATAACATGTTGTATGATGGAGGTGCTTGGGGTTGCAGTTGCTGGCATACAATTCGCCTTGGCTGCGAGGATACGGGTCACTAACTAACCAGTTGCTCGTTAGTGAAGTGGTCTATTAACTAAACGCCAACAATTTTGCCTGTGGTTTCTGCCCTGAGACCCCAAACCTCGTTTGTTCTCCCTTAATATATATCTATCTCCGCTTAGATAGTGTATCCCTCTTTCTAGCAGCCAAAGATAAACTACAGACACTGCGGACAAAACGAACTTG